TCGGCGACGGCGGCAACGACAGAGACGGCGGCGGGGCATCCGAGGCCTGGTGCCCGGCGGCGCGCCTTTGTTGGCGTCGTCTTCGGCGTGGTCTGCGTCGTCTTCGTCGTCGTTGCGGGTGTCGTCAGGGAGGTCGCCGTCAGCGGCGTCAGGTCGGTTGTCGTCGACGGCGGCGGCGACGTCGTCGTCAAAGTCGTCCTCGTCGTCGTGTCGTCGTCGTCTCGTCGTCGCCGCCTCGTCGGCGTCGTCGAGGTCTTCGTCGTCGGTGCTGCCGTCATCGTGTTCTTCGTCATCGTCGTCGTCCTCATCGTCGTCGGCGTCGTAGTCTTTGTCTTAGCTGCTGTTGTCGTCGTCGTCGTCGGCATCGGCGTCCGCGTCGTCGTCGTAAGCACCTAGTCGTCGTCGTCGTCGTTGCCACGTCGTCGTCATCGTCGTCGTCTCGTAGTCGCTTCGTCGTTGTCGTGGTCAACGTCGTCGTCTCGTCGTCGTTGTCGTCGTCGCGTCGCCGTCGTCGTTGTCGTCGTCGTGGCCGTCGTTGTCGACGTTGTCTTGTCGTCGCCGTCTTCTCGTCGTCGTCGTGCCCTTTCTCGTGGTTGCTGTCGTCATCGTTTTCGTCGTCTTCGTCGTCGTCCTCGTCGTCGTGGGCGTCGTGGTCTTTTTCTTCGCTGCTGTCGTCGTCGTCGGCGTCGTCGGCGTCGGCGTCGGCGTCGTCGGAGTAAACACCATGTTGGCGTCATCGTCACATCGTCGTCATCGTCGTCGTCTCGCAGTTGTCGTCGTCGTCGTTTCGTCGTCGCCGTCGTCATCGTCTTGTCGTCGCCGTCTCGTCGCCGTCTCGTCGCCGTCGTCGTGGTTTTCGTCGTCGTTGCTGCCGTCATCGTTTTCGTCGTCAACGTCGTCTTCGTCGTTGTCGGCGTCCCCGTTCTCGTCTTCGATGCTGTTGTCCTCGTCGGCGTCGTTGTCGTCGGCGTCGGCGTCGTCGTTGTAAACACCTAGTCGTCGTCTCGTCGTCGTCTTGTTGACGCCGTCTCGTCGCCGTCGTCGTGGTCTTCGTCGTCATTGCTGTCGTCATCGCTTTCGTCGTCTTCGTCGTCGTCGGCGCCGTTGTCGTTGTCTTTGCTGCTGTTGTCGTCGACGACGTCAGCGTCGTCGTCTCGTCGTCGAGGTCGTCGTCGTCGTCGCTTTCGTCGTCGTCCTCGTCCTCGTCGTCGCCGTCTCGTTGCCGTCGTCGTGGTCTTCGTTGCTTTCGTCAGCTTTTTCGTCGTCATCGTCGTCGTCGTTTTGGGCGTCGTGGTCTTTGCCTTCGCTGCTGTTGTTGTCGCCGTCTCGTCGTCGTCGTCGTCGTCGTCGTCCTCGTAAACGCCTAGTCGTCGTCGTCGGCGTCACGTCGTCGTCGTCGTCATTGGCGTCGTCTCGTCGTCGTTGTCATCGTCGTCGCCTCGTTGCGTCGCCGTCATGGTCGTCCTCGTCATCGTTTTCGTTGTCGTCGCCGTCTCGTCGTCGTGGTCGAGGTCTTCGTCGTAGTTGCTGTCGTCATTGTTTTCGTTTTCGTCGTTGCCGCCGTGTTCTTTGTCTTCGCTGCTGTTGTCTTCATCGTCCTCCGTGTCGTCGTCGTCTCGTCGTCGTCGTCGTCGTCGTCGCCGCCGTCGTTGTCGTCGTCGTCGTCGCCGTCTCGTCGCCGTCGTCGTGGTCTTCGTCGTCGTTGCTGTCGTCATCGTCGTTGTTGTCGTCTTCGTCGTCATCGTCGGCGTCAGCGTCATCGTCGTAAACACCTCGTCGTCGTCGTCGTCACGTCGTCGTCGTCATCGACGGCGTCTCGTCGTCGTCGTCGTCGCCGTCTTCATCGTTGTCGTCGTGATCGTCGTCGTTGCTGGTGTCGTCGTCAGCGTCGTTGTCTTCGTCGTCGGTGCTGTTGTCGTCGTCGGCGTCGGCGTCGGCGTCGGCGTCGTAAACACCTCGTCGTCATCGTCATCGTCGTCACGTCGTCGTCGTCATCGACGGCGTCTCGTCGTCGTCGTCGCCGTCTCTTTGTCGTCGTCGTCGCTGCTGTCGTCATCCTCGTCGTCGTCGTCGTCTTCGTCGTCGGTGGCCTGGTGGTCTTCGTCTTCGCTACGGATGTCCGCTTCGTCGCCGTCATCGTTGTCGTTGTAAATCGTCATCGTCGTCGTCACGTCGTCGTCGTCACGTCGTCGGCGTCGTCTCGTCGTTGTCGTCGTGGTCATCGTCGTCTCGTCGTCGCCGTCGTCGTCATTGTCGGCATCGCCTCGTCGTCGTCTTCGTCGTCTTCGTCGTCGTCGACGGCGGCGGGGACAGAGGCGGCGGGTGCGCCAGCCGAGGCCCGGAGCCCTGCGCTGCGCCCTCGGGCGCCTCGGGTCGCTGCCCCCCGGCGGGGGCCTCGGCCGCGCCGGGCGCCCCCGTCCGCTTCCCGCGATCTCGGGCGAGGCGGCGGGTCAGAGGCCAGCAACATCTGTACACGTACGCGGCTAGCTGCCCCTGGAGTGCGTGTCAACGCGGACGTTCGTGCAGGCAAGACCGCGGAGGGCGTACATGTACATATGTCGTTGCTCGCCCAGGCGGTGGTCTGGGAGCGGCCGGGGGGATGGTGATGACTACAGCGGGGGCCCATACCAAAAATCGCCCTGCTTGCCTCCAGGGTGCCCCTGCGTTTCTTGGGTGTCGATGGCTCTGCGAGGACAGTGTGGATGGCTCTCTTGGAGCATGCTTGGGTTCTGAGAGCACTTCGTGGTAGGATTATGGGCAGGCCGGGACGGTCGGCCCCTGCTCGATCCTTCCCCCCCTGACTTACAGTGCCGTTTTTTATACATGCTCCGCGTGCGGATCATGTATTACACATGCAGGGATTTAGTATTAAAAACAACGATGAGTTTATGCATTTAATTCATCCCTAAATGAATCATGGATTAGAAATCCTAGATCAAAATAAGAAATCCAATGTATCAAAATCAGGAGGGGAAAAAACACACAGACACAGTTCATCGTCGATCCCTGGGAAAATATTGGAAAATATGGGAAGTGGAGGGGGGAAGACACAAAAACCCAGAAAATGTAGGGAAATATGGGGAATATGTTTATTTGTGCGTATTTATTTGTGTGTCCTGGGGCCCCTTCACAAAAACTGCCCTGTAGGGTGGTGGTGGGCGGCCGGCCCAGCGGCCAGCAGAGCTGCCGGGATATACCCCCCGCGGGCGTGCCTCGCGGGGGGGGGAGAGGCGGGCCTCCCGAGCTCGGGGCGCCGACTTTGCCCGGTGGGGGGGCCCTGGCGCGGCCGATCCCCCCCCCCCCGCCGGGCGAGCGCGGCCGACGCCCCCCCCTCCCGTTCCCTCCTCCTTCTCCTCCTCCTCCTCCTCCCTCCCTCCTCCTCCTCCTCCTCCCTCCCTCCTCCTCCTCCTCCTCCTCCTCCTCCCTCCTCCTCTCCTCCTCCTCCTCCTCCTCTCCTCCTCTCCTCCTCCTCCTCCTCCTCCTCCTCCTCCTCCTCCTCGTCCTCCTCCGGGGGTCGGACGATGGGGGGGGGATACGGAAAGAAGGCAGGGGTGGTCAATGCAAGAATGGGTACAATGCCCAACAGCGGATCTTGTTCATTTTGAACAGGCCTCGCTGTCCACGCCGCCGCGGCCCGTGTCCATTCGAGACAGGAGGCCGCCTGCCCAACAGCGGCCGCTGCTGGCTTGGGACAACATTTGTTGTTGGGCATCGTGCCCATTTTTTCGGTACCCATGTCGGGCGTCCAAAGAGACGGGGGTCAATGCAGACGGGGGTCAGCCAGAGCGCCAGAGCTTGCAGGATCCTGCGAAGGCCCTCTCTGGCTGACCCGGCTCTGCGAGCCGCTCGTGGCCGCGAGGCGGCCGCTCGTGTTGGCAGACCCGGGTCTGCGAGGACCTGCGCTGCAGTTTTTGTTTCTCCTGCATTGCAGTTTTGGGTTTCCTGCTGACCTGGGTCTGGATAGACCCGGGTCAGAAGATCCCCGACCCCCGTCATCAACGCAGTCTTAGGTACCGGTAGGGCCTCAGTTGCCTCGATACGCACGTTTTGAAACGCAGCACGTCCCGTGTGGAAGACGTCCGTGTCAATACGTTGCGTGTTGGCTCCACGTGTTGGCCCACGTTTTGGCGAACGTATCGCGACGGACGTACGTTTTCAGTCCACGTGTTGAGCTCCGTATCAATACGCCACGTGTCACGTGTTGCGTATCGGGGCAGCTAAGAGTAGGGCATGTCCCCCTAGAGTTGTGGAAGTCGATTAATGGAGAGGAAGCATGCTGCCAAATAATTTCCATGTGTCTAAAATATGTGTCAAACATGTTTTAATCATGTATTGCAGCATCTTTGACATATTATAGAACAGGTGTTACACATGTTGAACACATTTAATTCAATGATCGTATTGTTAGAGTGTCCACTGTCATGGCATCCACAAACGCAGTCTTAAAGTCGTGCATGTCCCTCAACAGGGGGAAGATTCGAGAATACAGTCAGCCCGCATAGTCAGGATGGGCAGTCTTCCCAAGAGTACCCTGGCCTCCTCGCCTCCTCGGTCCATCCTTGGCCAGTCTCGTTGGCCGCGCCCCGCTCGAAAAGCTTCGACATGGGCGTCCAGGGCCCTTGCGTCCTTATCGCGCATCCTTATTATCCTGGGTGACTGTAGTAAAACATAGTTTGGGAACGACTTTTCGTTTTGGGGGGTTCTACTTTTTGTTGCTGATGTGGTGGGTATGTTTCATGTTTCGTCCCAAATCCGCCCGTAGTCGTCTTCCTCCTCCTCGCCGTCCTGTGCTGGCCCCGCTGACGACTGCAACAGGTTGCCGCCAGCAGTAGTTGACGTTCTGCTGGGGGGCACCTTTTTGTCGCCCCGCCAGCCACGCTACGTGTCGGGTGGCACCGCGACGGGGAGGTACGTCATGGTCCCAGCCTTGGGCCTGCGTGTTCAGCTTGTGCACGTTGTGGCCCAGCTCCTCCGCAGTGGCTATCAGCGCCGCTACTCTGCTCGTGATGCCGCTGGCTACCTCGAAGTCGAACCCTGCCAAGCATGGGCTCAATTCATCCACCTGCTCCGCTTCTGTAATCGACCCCGTGATGCGTCGGCTTCCCGACGGCTCCCCCGCACTCGAGCCGCTCCCGACTCACCTGTTGGAGGGTCACGCGGCAGACAGCCCCTGTCGCCCCGAACCCGTCTTGGGGGCCTCTTGGGCTGTCTCGAGGCCGCCTTGCGCTGCCGTGGGAGTCTCCTGGGGAACTTGGGCCCTCTCAGGGACCTCCCGCGGCCCTCGTGGGCCTCTCTTGGGAGCCTTTGGGGGCCTCGTGAGCTTCTTTTGCGCCGCCTTGGGGCAGTCTTGGGGGCCCCCCTTGGCCCGGCTCCGAAGCCCCCTTGGGGGCCTCTTGGGCCCGTTGTGCTGCTCGCACGCCGCCAGCCGCCCTGGCCTACGGAGCGGCCCCCCGCCCCCCGAGCGCTGCGGCAACGGCTCCCGGCCTGCAGGCCCCTTCGGAGCGCACGCTGCCTTGTGAGGTGGTGGTTGTGGAGGTTTCTCCGAAGGGTTTGGGCGACCCGTCCTCCTCCTCCTCCTCCTCCTCCTCCTCCTCCTCCTCCTCCTCCTCCGCCTCTTGCTCCTCCTCCTCCTGCTCCTGCTCCTCCTCCTCCTCCTCCTCCTCCTCCTCCTCCTCCTCCTCCTCCTCCTCCTAGGTGGCTCCCTGCGCGGTCCCCCTTCGCCCCCCCGCAGTCATTCTGCCCGCGGGGGCGCGGCGGCCCGCCAATGGGAGCCCCCAGCCCCAGGCGCTCGCTTGGCGCGATGCCGACAGCGCACGTGCCGCCTTCCTGTGCGGCCTCGCTGTCCCGTGCCGCCCGACGCCGCGCCAGGGGGCGCTGCACGGCGGCTGGCCACGCACAGGCTGCGGCTGGCGCGATCGCTGCACTGCTGCGGCCGCGGGACTTGCCCGACATGAGGCTCCAGGCGTGGCCGAAGGCCCACCGCCCTTCGTGCCAGGGCTTCTTGGCGGAGGATCCGAGGGCGTGGTGCTGATCGACCCCCTGGGCCTGGTCGGCGCTCCCGGGTGCTGGATGCTGCGCTCCTGCCCGGCCAGCGCCGGCTGGCCTGGGCTCGCCGTGCCGCTGGCGCCTGGGTGCTGGAGTCCTCCTGGTGCTGGAGAATGGCGTGGAGACGGTGGACCTACTGGACTCCCGATGCTGCGCATGCGTCTTGCCCCGGAGGTGGCGCTCTGCCGCCGTCGATGGGAGGCACGCCTGTCGCGCAGCCTCCGTTTGCTGGACCTCATCGTTGTCGGCGCGGTGGGAGTCCGCGAGATGCCGCTCGAGCTTGTGGGGATCGGCCTGGGGTCGCTGGACTTCGTCTGGTCGTGCGCGCTAGTCTACGCATTATCCAGCCTACCGATGTCGCCCTCCCTCGTCCAGTTCCTGGGCCGCGTGGGCGAGTCTTCGGTGCCCGACCTTGGGGTGGCCCTCTTCGCCCGCTTCCTGGGAAACCTGGCCGCACTTTCAAAGTTGGGCCTCAATATTTTGCTGAAGAAGTCGTTCTTTCTCGACCTGTTCCTGGGCCTTGTGAGCGTCTCTTCGGCGCTCGGCAGTGCTATGGTGCTCCTCGGCAGCTCTTCGGGCCTGGGGGGACGTGCTACAGGTTGGGTCGCAATTCAGCAGGACCGACGACGACGCTGCTTCCCTTTTGGCGGCCGACAGAGCTGCCCTGGTTGATGGTGCCGCGGCAGAGCCCAGGAGCGACGGACACCTCTTCAGCGACATGGCGTATCTGTGGGATTCTACGTTGAAGGCTTGCTGGATATGCTCTGTCTCCCCAAGTCGTACACGGCGTACGGTGATGCGACGATTGGGTCTTCTGAGCCGATTCCGACAATGAGCCTCGGCAGCGCCTCAGATGTATTTCCTGGCGAGTTGGGACGCCGTCCCCAGTAGTCGTCTGAAGGGCTTCGCTTGGCCGTGCAAGCAAATTTCTTTTTCGCCTGGCATGGCGAATCTCCGGGGGTGGTACTCTGAAGGCTTGCTGCATATTGCGAAGGCCTGACGGCCGGTGCTGCCGACCCTGAAGAGGACCACGACGTCGGCGACGACGTGGGCGGAAACGGAGGCCGTGCAACATGAGGAGGAGGAGGAGGAGGAGGAGGAGGAGGCAAGGAGGCAAGGAGGCAAGGAGGCAAGGAGGCAAGGAGGCAAGGAGGAGGGGGAGGAGGAGGAGGCAAGGAAGAGTGAGGCAAGGAGGAGGGGGAGGAGGAGGCAAGGAGGCAAGGAGGAGGAGGAGCAGGAGGAGGAGGACGAGGAGGAGGAGGAGGAGGAGGAGGAGGAGGAGGGAGGAGATGCAGGTCGGAGCAGGAGGGGGAGGAGAGGGGAGGAGGAAAAGGGAGGAAAAGGAGGAGAAGGTGGAGGAGAAGGAGGAGGAGGAACAGGACGCAGAGGAGGGGAGGAGGAGTAGGAAAGGGGGGTGGCGGGAGAAGGAGGAGGTAGGGGAGGAGGGAGGAGGAGGAGGAGGAGGAGGAGGAGGGCAGGAGGAGGAGGAGGAGGAGGAGGAGGAGGAGGAAGAGGAGGCGGAGAAGGAAATGGAGGAGGAGGGGGAGGAGCAGGAGTGTGGCCGAAAAGAGGGCTCCGGCGGCGCCAGAAAACCTCGATCCTCGAGCCTGGGGTTCGGAGTCCGCAGAGTGAGCAAGAGGAGGGAGAGGAGGAGGAGGAGGGAGGAGGAGGAGGAGGAGGAGGAGGATGATACTTGTTGTTCTACATGCTTAGTCTTTCGTCACTTTCGGCTTCTAGGGGCCATTTGGGGGACCGGGGAGTCGAAACCGGACCCGTGGTGAAAAACTAAACCGATCCTGTCAAACCGCCGGAGGTCTGGGCTTCCCGAGCGCCCTGACTGCCCGTCGGTGGGCGGCGGCGGATCCCCGCCTCGCCGCCTTGCGCAGCCCTCGCAGCCCTTCGGAAGCGAAAAGGCGAGAAAGCCAACAACATTGGATTTCCTTAGGTTTCGGGCCGTTTTCTTTGGTTTCTTTGGGGCATCGGTGGACGGCTCGGAAGACACCTGACGTCGAGGGCTTGTTTTCGGCATCATGTGGGAGTGTCTTGGACGGCTGGGGGTATTTTGAGAAGCTCGTGGCATCACCTTGGGGGTGTCTGTGAGCTTCCAAAGCCGCGCGGGGGTTCGGAACCGCGCGGGGACCGCGCTGGACGAGCGGGGAGTGAAAACGTATTTGGGTGGCGCCCCATCCCGGGACCCCCCGCCCCGCCGGGGAAGGTACAACGGGAAGGGGCTTCCCTTTGACGTGGTTGCGACATGGGTCGATTTCCCTCAAGCCCGCTAGAGCACTGCAGCGACGACGACGACGAACGGCACAGCCCCTTACACACGCCGACAGGGTCGGCAGATTCTTTGCCGCCCCAAGTCGAACGCGGCGGACGATGATGCAGCGACTGGGGCTTCTGAGCCGTCTCGGACAGAGAGCCTACTCCAGATTTCGTAATAAAAGGGAGGGGGTCTGGACCCTCCAAGACAAGCCGTTTCAGACCCCCCCCCGTGGGAGAACCCTCCAAAACATCGTCCCCAGACCCCCCCAGGCCCTCCAAGATAGATTGGAAGAGACCCCCCCCCGAAATGAGACCCCCCTCCCTTTATTACGAAAACTGGAGTAGGCGTCGCGTCAGATGCGATGCCGCGGTCGCTCGGTCTCGGCAGCCAGCCCCGCCGGGGAGCGGCGTCGGTGGCCTCTCCCCTCGCCTGGAGGGGGGCACGGCCTGGCGGATGGCACGAGCCGTGCTGTCCCAGGCGATGCCGCGCGCCTGGTCCATGGGTTGGCCTCTCGAGGGGGTGGCTTCGGTGAACTCCCTGCGCTTTGCAGGAGGCACGGCCTGGAGCATGGCACGAGTTGTGCCGTCCTAGGTGGCGCCACGCACCTCCGCTCCCAGGGAGTGGCTTCGGTGACCTCCCCTCGCTTGAAGGGGTCACAGCCTGGAGGATAGCGCAGAGCGCAGTCCCAGGTGATGCCGCAAACCTGGTGGGAGCACTGGGCTGATGCTGCCCTTGGCCTCCGCCCAGTTCCTTGCTCCTTTCCTTTGTTTTTGGATCTGGGCGCTCTCCCCGCGGTCCCTTGGGTGAGGGAGCGCGTCGCTGACAGATTCCGAGGCGGGCAAGGCCCCTGTCTCCTTGTCCTGTGCACGCTTGGCGCCCTTTGGAGCGCGGCGTCCGCCAGTCAACGTCGTATCCTCCTCCTCTTCCTCCTGCTCCTCAGGGGGTAGGAGGGAGGAGGGAGGAAGGAGGCGGAGGCGGAGGCGGAGCTGGAGGCGGAGGAGGAGGAGGAGGAGGAGGACCAGTGTAAACCCGAGAGCCATCAACGATGTTGGAATTTACCCTCCCTCCAAGCTCACTCTTCATAGGCCTGTACAACGGCCCATGTCCACTGAGGGAACTGTTTCATTGGAAGACAATCGTCTGAAGACCTTGAAGCATGCCAAAGCATTGCTCTCGGGATTTCTACGCCACGGATCAACCTCACTGCTGCGTCATGACGATCTGGAATCGTGCCAGAATCCATGTTGGGGGAATTGGGCAACACGGATCAACATAATTGTTGCGCCCGCATTGTCGCGAATCCGTCCGAAACATCATTTCTGGTACGTTGACCATGGGAATTCGTGAAACTCTTGCGAATGTGTGCAACGAATGTGCGCGGCGCTCAGGCGAGAGACACATTTTGGAAAGGAGCCGCCTTCGGTTCGTGAAACTCTTGCGAATGTGCGCGGCGCTGAGGAGAGAGTCACATTTTGAAAATGACCCGCCCTCAATAGGTGAAACCTTCGCCATTAAAAAAAGCGAATGTGCGCGGCGCTAAGGCGAGAGTCACATTTTGAAAACAACCTGCCCTCCATATGTGAAGCTCTTGCAACTGTTCAAAACGAATGTGCGCGCCGCTAAGGCGAGAGGCACATGTTGGAAACGGCCCGCCCTCAATCCGTCAAACTCTTGCAAAGTTCCAGAACGAATGTGCGCGCCGCTAATGCGAGAGGCACATGTTGGAAACGACCCGCCCTCAGTCCGCAAAGCTTTTGCAAGGTTCCAAAACGAATCTGCGCGGCGCTACGACGAGAGCCACATTTTGAAAACGGCCCGCCCTCGATCTGCGTGTTTAAGCTTCAGGTTTATGGATCGTAGACCGAAGCGCCCGGCCTGCCCCAAAAAACTGGCTTCCAGGTGTGACAGTGAGAAGTTAGTCGTAAGGAAAAGGAATGGTGGAGGAGGAGGGAGGAGGAGAGGAGGAGGAGAGGAGGGAGGAGGGAGGAGGGAGGGGAGGGAGGAGGGAGGGATGAGGGGGAGGATGAGGGGGAGGAGGGAGGCGGAGAAGGGGAAGGAGAAGGAGAAGGAGGCGGAGGCCGAGGCGGAGGAGGAGGAGGACGAGGAGGAGGAGGGGGAGGACGAGGAGCAGGACGAGTGGGAGGAGAGGAGGACGAGGGGGAGGAGGAGGAGGAGGAGGAGGAGGAGGAGGAGGAGGAGGAGGGGAGGAGGAGGAGGAGGAGGAGGAGGAGGAGGAGGAGAGGAGAGGAAAAGACGACGAAGACGAGAACAAGCAGAGGAGGAGCGCTGAAAAGGAGGGGCAGCGTGGGCGGTGGAGGGGGGAGGAGGGGACATGCGGAGAAGCCTGCCTGGACGGCTGGCGGCGGCGGGACACCGCCCCGCCGCCGCACCCGAGGGACCGCCGGCCTGCGTGGCCGCCGCCGCGCATGCGGGCGTGCAGTTCGGCGTGGGCGCGCCCTCCCCCCTCCGCCCCCCCCTCCACCTGCCCCCCTCCTCTCCTCCTCCCCTCTCCTCTTTCCTCCCGCCTCCTCCGTTTTCTCTCACGTCTCCCTCCTCGTCCTCACGAATCCCCCTCCCCCGTCGGCGTCCTCCGCCTCACCCTCCTTTGCCTCCTCCGTAGCCTTACGTGGTCGTGCCTCCGCGCCCCTATCCATCTCGTCCTCTCCCCAAATGGAGCTCCTCCGCCTGTTCCCTCGCCCGTCCTCTCTTACCATCCTCCGTCCCCTCCCCCTCTATCCTTCGTGTTTATGAACAACTCACCTCTGCCGTGCCACCAGACGTGTCCCGAGGCCAGGCTGGGCCGTTCGCCTGATATTGCTGTACCATGTGTTACGTCATTTGATGGCAGAAGGCTCAATTGATGGGCTTCATAGACGGCTTGCTGGTGTTGTTCCTGATTCCGCTCTCGCCCTCGCGCCGCGCACCTTCGTCTCGAAATGTTGCAACAGCTTCTAAAAGGATGGAGACAGTGCGGCTCTCGCCCTAGTGCCCCGCACTTTCGTCTTACAAGTCTGCAGCGCTCTCAACGATGGAGGACCAGTCGGTTCCAAAGTACGGCGAATTCGCGCCGCGCACATTCGTCTTCAAAGTATGCAATTGTTTCAACGATGGAGGCCGGTTTGTTTTCAAAGTGTGGTTCTTGTCGCAGTGCCGCGAACATTCGTTTTCAACCTTTGCAGCCGTCACAGGGATGGAGGGCGGTTCTTTTTCAAAATAGGGCTGTTGCGTGCGACTTCGTTTTACTAAAAATTAGAAGCTTGAACATGTGCAACAGCTGCACATGTGCAGAGCAGTTCGTTTTCAAAACGGGGCTCTCGCTTGAGACGTCCTTACATGTCATAGAAAGACGTGTAATATTGTGTGACACTTGCACGGATTGTGGGCGGTTCATTCTAAAACGGGGTTCTCGCTATACTTCTTTGAGATATAGGATCCGACGTTACCGCATTCCTGATCCTTCGCTGAAAGGCTGGACGGCAGCTCGGGGCTCTCCTGTGATGATACGAGCGGCTTCTAAACTTTAATGAGGAGGGGACTTGGGGCGGCAGGGTTGGTCACATTATTGTTGATGCATCCTGGGTTTGCTCCTGTCCTCCTCCTCCTCCTCCTCCTCCTTCTGCTTCCTCTGTCGTTCCTCGTCTCTCCTCCTCATAATCCCAACTCGCTTCGCTTCTCACTCCTCCCTGCTCGCTAGTCTTCGCTCTCCTCCCTCCTCTTTCTCTTCCTCCTCCTTCTCCTTCCTCTTTGCTCTCCTCCCTCCTCCCTCACGGTTTAGCCGCACAGCCCTCCTCCTCCTCCTCCTCCTCCTCCTCCTCCTTCTCCTCCTCCTCCTCCTCCTTCGGTTCAGCCACACAGCCCGCCCCGCAGCCGGCAGCGCTGGCCAGCGCGGGCGCGACCGTGCAATTGACGCAGTCCCTGCGGGAGGGCCAGGGCGGTTCAGGGCGGGGCGGCGACGACGGCGACGAAGTCGACGATGTCGACGGCGGCGGCGACGCATTCGGCCGCTCAGCTGTCCGCGAAAAAGGGGGAGGAGGAGGAGGGGGAGGAGGAGGAGGAGGAGGAGGAGGAGGAGGAGGAGGAGGAGGAGGAGGAGGAGGAGGAGGAGGAGGAGGAGGAGGAGGAGGAGGAGGAGGAGGAGGAGGAGGAGGAGGAGGAGGAGGAGGAGGAGGAGGAGGAGGAGGAGGAGGAGGAGGAGGAGGAGGAGGAGGAGGAGGAGGAGGAGGAGGAGGAGGAGGAGGAGGTGGAGGAGGCGAAGGCGTCGATGTTCGTCGCCGCTCTCGGCCTCAGGAGACCTGCCTCGACCCCGAGACCGCCGGAAGACATCACGCGGGATCCATAGGGGGGAAACGAACCTACCCCGCTTTTGACCACCCTCGCTTCCAAGAGATACCAAACGATGCCAAATTGCAGCCTGTACTGGTCAAGCAGCTTGACGGGGAGGCGCGTGGTATGGCTTGGTTTTGCCTGGAAGCGAAAGCGGGGTAGGTGATTCACGCTCTGGATCCGGCAGCACCTGGCAAAGACGGGCCCCGAGAGGTCTGGGGAGAGCCGCGGGCTCTAGCATCGGGCCGGACGAAAGGGGGGGATTGGGAAAGGGGGTGTTACGAAATTAGCTGCATGCAGCTGGTTTCGGCCCCACCGAGGGGCTCATTCCTCGATACATAAACGCCTCCGGCGCCGGAAGGCGCCGGGAAAATCAGCTACGTGAGCTGATTCTCAACCCCCCCCTTTGCTATCCCCCCCTTTCGCCCGACCCGATAGTAGACAAACGCCGTGGGCTCGAGCGCAGCAGGCACATGAAACATAAGACATCGGCCTGACAGCAGGTGCCCCACGGAAATGTCGTATCCCCGGGCGGTCCCAGGGACCCACAGAAGATCTGGGGCATCCTGGGGCGCTCAAAGCTCGACGAAGGATGTGCGCGCTGGACTTTTAGCAAGGTGCACGATCGTGTCCACTATAGAAAAGTACGATCATAAAGACAGGACTCGAGAGACAAGACACAGTTAAACCCACATCGTGAGAACATAAATAATCAGCAATCCATCAGGAGCTTTTGCACCCTGGCGTCCCAAGGGGACGGCGGATCCTCCTGGAAGTTGTAGGCCATGGGGGGGGGGGGGGTGACGATGAGGATGGTTGGTGGCAGTTTTAGGCCAGGGAGTAAGGAGTGTTGAGGGCATACATGTATACACATACAACCTACACATATACGCATACACACATACACATATACTATATGTATACATATTCGCATACATACACACATATACATGTCTATGTGTACATATGTATATACGTATGCACATACAGCCACCCCACCCCGAGGCTGCGCCCACTCCGCGACCACTGCTGGCAAATCCCCGGTACCGCTCTCCCGGGAGCCCAGGAGAGCCCCAGGAGAGCCTGAACATTGCCCAGGACGCCCCCGAGACAGCCCAAGAGTGCTCCAAGGCTGTCCAAGCTGGCCCCCCAACGGCTCTGGAAGCCCCCGAAGACCATGCATGATCGCCCCAAGAGGCTTCCCAGAGTCCCCCAGGAGCGCCAGGAACCCCTCGAGACGCCAACTTTATCAAACAAACCCTTTGGAAATCAATGACTTCCTGTTTTCTCGCACTTCCGCCTACGACGCAATCCCGAGGCTCGCGCATGGCCCCCAAGATAACAGGGGATCCCAAGGGTGGTCCCGAGTGGCGCGAAGTGGCCCCAAGAGGACAAGTCTTTTCATAACAGAAAAAAGTTCGACCTCCCCTCTCCGTTCTCTCCTGTCCCAGGCTTTGGCGTGCCTCAGGGTGCGTTTCCATTTCCCCCTATCCCTCGTTGTCCGTTCTCCCATTCCTTTTGTTCTCTCTCTCTCTCTTGTTCTTGGTTATTTTGCGTCTCCAGTTCCACACCTTTCTCCTTCCTCTCTTCCTCCCTCCTCCCCGCTGCGTCATTTTCCTGTCTCTCCTTCACGCCTTCCTCTCTGTTTCCCTCATGCGTTTCCTTTTCCCCCATCCCTCGTCCTCATCTCTCCTTCACTCCCACATCCCTCATCCTCATCCTTCCTCCCTCCACCTCCCTCACCCAGAATCCTGCTCCTCCATGCGGTGGGAGGCCCAGCTTGAAAAAAAGAGTTCCCTCAACTTTTTGTTTCAGGGTCTACCCCCCACTCCTGTCCTCCTGTCCCAGGCTTTGGCGTGCCCCCGTGTGCGTTTCCGGTTTCCCCATCCCTCGCTGTCCGTTCTTTTTGATCTCTCTATTTTGCTCTCGGTTCTTCTGCGTCTCCCGTTCCACATCCTTCTTCTTCTTCTCCTCCTCCCACCTCCCCGCTGCGTCAGTTTTCCGTCTTCTCTTTTTCACGCTTTCCTCTCTTCGCTTCCCTCATGCGCTTCCGTCTCCCACATCCGTCATTCTCATCTCTCCTTCACTCCTTCCTCCCTCCGCCTCCTTCACCCAGCATCCTGCTCCACTACTTGGTGGGAGGCCAAGCTTGAAACAAACAAGGAATTCCTCACATATTCATGTGGCCTTTGGCAAGTGCCGCCGATCCTGGTCGCTCGGGGTTACCTCCCAGACGCAGAGATCACGGGCGCACTCTCAAACACACACACACACACACACACACGGGCCCCCCCCCCCCCACACGTTACCAGAACCCACGCCCCCGGACACCCCCCCCCCTCCCCGGCAAACCAAGCGTTTTGAGGCGGTTTCGAAGGAAATCCAATGGTTTTTAAAGCAAGCCCACGCCTGCGGACCCCCCCCCACCGCCAGAACCCACGCCACGGGAACCCCCCCCCTCACCCCCCCACGCCACCAGAACCACGCCACCGGACCCCCCCCCCCTCCCCCTCCCCGGCAAAGCCACCCCGGTCACCCCCACCCCTTGAAACTCACACGCCATGTCGGCGGACTTTTTTTTCCCAACCACCCTGTGGTGTTGGGTCCTCGTTTTGAAGAGACGGTCCCCGCGTTCCTCTCCTCTCCTCCTCCTCCCCCTCCTCCTTCCTCCCCCTCCTTGCCTATGCCCTCCGCATGTCTCTGTTTCGGCACGCCCCTCAAACGTTTCGTGGCCCCATAGAAGGCTTCACCGAAGGCCCCAGTACCGCCGTCCACATGCGTCCCCCACACCAATTTCGGCACACCCCTCACACGTTTCGTGGCCCCATAGGGAGCTCCACCGAAGGCCCCAGTGCCACCGTCAACGTGCGTCCCCCGCACCCATTTCGGCACACCCCGTTTCGTGGCCCCATAGGGAGCGCCACCGAAGGCCCCTGTGCCACCGTCCACATGCGTCCCCCGCGCGACTTTCGGCACACCTCTTACAGGGTTCGTGGCCCCATAGGGAGCTCCACCGACGGCCCCAGTGCCACTGTCCACATGCGTCCCCCACACCCATTTCGGCACACCCCGTTTCGTGGCCCCATCGGGAGCGCCACCGAAGGCAGCAGTACACCGTCCACATGCGTCCCTCGCACCCATTACGATACCCCTCACACGTTTCGTGGCCCCGTAGGGAGCTCCATCGAAGGCCCCCATAGAAGGCTCCACCGAAGGCCCCAGTGCCACCGTCCACATGCGTCCGCCGCACCCATTTCGGCACACCCCTCACACGCTTCGTGGCCCCATAGACGGCTCCACCGAAGTCCCCAGTGCCACCGTTCACATGTGTCGCCCACACCACTTCCGGCGCCCCCTTCATACGCTTCTTTGCCCAATGGGGAGCCCCCCGAAGGCCTCAGTGCCGCCGTCCACATGCGTCCCCAACACAAATTTCGGCACACCCCTCACACGTTTCGTGGCCCCATAGAAGGCTCCACCGACGGCCCAAATGCCACCGTCCACATGCGCCCCCCACACAAATTTCGGCAACCCCCTCACACGTTTCGTGGCCCCATAGGGAGCTCCACCGAAGGTCCCAGTGCCACCGCCCACATGCGTCCCGCACAGCCATTTCGGCACACCCCTCAAGGGCCCGTGGCCCCATAGGGAGCGCCACAGAAGGACCCAGTGCCACCGTTCACATGCGTCCCCCACACCCATTACACGTTTCGTGGCCCCATAGGGAGCTCCACCGAAGGCCCCCATAGGAGGGGTCACCGAAGGCCCCAGTGCCGCCGATAACATGCGTCCCCCACTCCATCTCGGCACACCCCTCACACGTTTCGTGGCCCTATAGACGGCTCCACCGAAGGCCCCAGTGCCACCGTCCACCTGCGTCCGTCCACCAAACACAAATTTCGGCACACCCCTCGCACGTTTCGTGGCCCCAAAGGGAGCTCCACCGAAGGCCCCAGTGCCACCGTCCACCTGCGTCCCCCACACCCATTTCTGCGCACCCCTCACACGTTTCGTGGCCCCATAAGGAGCTCCACCGAAGGCCCCAGTGCCACCGTCCACAGGCGTCCGCCGCACCCATTTCGGCACATCCCCTCACACGCTTCGTGGCCCCATAGGGCGCTCCACCGAAGGCCCCAGTGCCACCGTCCTCATGCGTCTGCCGCATTCATTCCGGCACGCCCATCACAGGGTTCATGGCCCCATACAAAGGGCCGCCGAAGAAGATATTTACAATTGCGGTACGCACAGCTGCATATGGTTAGGTCCTTCGCCAGGCTAATTCGGGTCTGCCCCGCCTCCGTTTCCTCCCGTCCGAGGTTTTTACGTGCCCTCAAGTGCGTTTCCAGATTCCCCATCCCACGCTGTCCGTTCTCCCAGATCTCTCTCTCTCTCTCTCGCTCTTTTTCTCCTGCCCTTGGTTCACCTCCGTCTCCTGTTCCGCATAATTTTCTTTTTCTCGCCTCTTTTCTCCCCGCTGCATCATTTTCCCTCATCCCTCTTCCTCGTCTCTCCTTCACGCCTTCCTCTCGCCTCCTCCAGTATGCTTTCCTGCGTCCCTCACCCCTCCCTTTTCGTTTTCCATGATCTGTTCATTGCCCGTAGGTCTCCTGCGTCTCCAGATTTCACGTCCTTCTCCTTCCTCTCCCCCATTCCTCCTCCCTGCTGCGTCCTTTTCCCTCTTCCATCCGGTTCGTTTATTAGTCACGTGTGGTTGTTCGATGCTTTGGGGCTCTCGAGGGCTTCCCCGGAGCTCTTTGGGGATTCTTGAACGCTTTTTGGGGCGATATTGGGTGCTCTTGGGGGCCTCCAGAGCCAACATGAACAAAGGGAATTCCCTCAAATCCTTGTTTTCAAGGTCGACCACCCCCCAGCCGTTTCCTCCTGTGTCCCAGGCTGCGGCGTGCCTCAGAGTGAGTTTCCGTCTTCCCCCATCCCTCGCTGTCCGTTATCCTTGATTTCTCTGTCTTGTTCTTGGTTATCCTGCGTCTCCCGTTCCACATCCTTCTCTTTCCTCTCCTCTCTCCTCCCCGCTGCGTCATTCTCCCTCCTCGCTCCTCGTCTCTCCTTCACGCCTTCCCTTCTCCGCCTCCCTCACGCCTCATGCTTCTTCGGGCTCTCCAACGCTCTAAGACGACCCAAGAGGTCCCCAAGACAGCACCCAGGAAGCCCAAGAGGTCTCCGCGACGGCCAGAATATCGGAGGGCACCAACTATACACCAACACCGATCCTGGCCCAGGATCACCCTGGGCCCAGGATCGGTGTATATGCCTTCTTGCGCAAGGCAGGAGGGCGTATACGCCGATCCTGGGCCCAGGGTGATCCTGGGCCAGGATCGGTGTTGGTGTATAGTTGGTGCCTTCCTAGAATACGACCCAAGAGAGCGCCGAGATGGCTCGAGAGGCCGCCGAGATGGCCCACGAGTCACGAGGCCCTCAATGGGGCAAGCGCGGGGATCCAAGCCGACGCCTCGAGCCCAGGCGCCGAGAGCCCCGGGGGAGGCCCGCGGGGCGTCCCCCCAAAAGTCCCAAGAGGCCACCAGGAGGCCCCCCATCCCCGTCTCCTCCTCCTACTCCTCCTCCTCCTCCTCCTCCTCCTCCTCCCCTCCTCCTCCCTCCTCCCCTCATCCTCTCCCCTCCTTCTCCTCCTCCTCCTCCTCCTCCTCCTCCTCCTCCTCCTCCCTCCTCCCGCTCCTCCTCCTCCTCCTCCTCCTCCTCCTCCTCCTCCCAAGCAGAGAGACCCCATCCCCCAGAAACCCCGAGAGCGCTCCAAGAACGTCCCTCAAAGGCGTCCAAAGATGCTCCCAGCACGGTGTTGCCAGGCTCTTGGGGCTCTCGGGCGTGCGCCCTTAGGCTGCCCTGGGTCCTCCTCGTGGCTGCCTTGCGCGACTTCCTGGAGCCGTATTCAGCGACCCCTGCAGCGTCCATCAGGAAGCACGGTCCCATGTGGTGATCCTGGAGGCATGATGTCCATCCTCATCCGATCTTCTAAGCTTGGCTTGGGCTGCGCTAGAACCTAAGCGTGGTTCTGGTATTATCTATATGTGTATATGTGTATATGCAGGTGTGTATAGGCCTTCAGAGCGTGAGGATGCTTCGCTGGCAGTTCTAGCTCGGGGGACGAGGATACAGCCATACAGTGTGTATACATACATGCATATACACATATGCACCTGTAATGTGCGTACCTTTCCCGGACAGTGATTGGGCTTCTGGGTTCTACCCTGGCTTATTTGAGGAACTGCATGGGCATTCCGGGTGTTCGCCACGCTGCCGCCCGTGCCGCCTCGTGGAGGTCCCGCGCTGGGGGGGGGCGTGCCGTGGTTGCACCACGTTGCCGCGCGTGCCGCCTCGTGGGCCCCTCGTGGGCGCACCGCGCTCGTTGAGTATGCCGAGGTTGCGCCACGTTGCCCCCCGCGATCCCGTGGGCACCTCGTGAGCGCCCCCGCGTTTGGGGGGTATGCCGACGTTGCGCCACGTTGCCGCCCGCGCCGCATCGTGGGTGTCCCGCGCTCTGAGCTTACACGGCAGACCTTGCACCACATAGTTTGCACCGCATTGTTTAAGCAACATAGCTTACCCCACACAGATTGCACCCCATAGTTGTCACCGCTGGTTCGCATTGCCTACACGGCATAGCTTGCACCACATAGTTTACACCGCATAGTTTTCACCTGATTTGATGAAACCGCATTGCTCGCACCACATAGGGTTCACCACAGAGCTGAAACCTCAGCTTCTACCTCCACTGTGCACTAGCTCACTGTTTGGGACCCACGCTGGCTAATACATTTGCGTAGACCCTATAGCTGTTGTGCGCACATGTGTGAGTGCTTATTCTCAGCCAGTGCTTGCGCTCAGGGATTGCTGCTGTTATGTTGCTCAGGGGGCTCGATGGGCACTCCAGGTGTTCGCCACGTTGCCGCCGCGTGCGCGCCCGTGGGTGCCTCGCGCTGGGGAGGATGCCGCAGTGGCGCCACGCTGTCTTCCTCGCCTCCTCGTGGGCGCCCCCGCGCTTGGGGGGGGGGGTATGCCGAGATCACGCCGCGCTGAGGCGCCTGCCGCCTCGTGGGCGCCTGTGCCGCCTCGTCGGCGCTCCGTTGGCGCCTCGCGCCCAGAGCTCACCTCCACACAGCCGTCACCACAGAGCTCACAGCGCATGGCTTACACCGCCCAGCTTTCATTGCCATAGCTCTCACCACAGTGCTCAAACCACATGTCTTGCGCCACGTAGCTTTTTACCGCGTAGCTAAGACTGCACGGCGTTCACCTCGACAGTGCAGTAAAACAGTGTTTAGCAATGGAGAGGGGGGGGATGATACTTGCAGTTCGGCCAGGGATCAGGCCATGTTGCTGATACTTGTAGGCCGAGGCAGTAAGGATCTGGTATTGGCTGCATGCAGCCAGGGGGAGAATACGTTACTGGCAGTTTTTGGCATGATGGTTGACGTTTTGAATGCCAGCTGTGGGCAAGGGGGGTGAGAACATGCTGAGAACATATGTGCGCCTCATGCCAGTTGTGTTTAGCTTCGTGTCAGGAGGTTCAGGATATGTTGCTGGCAGTTGTAGGCAAGGGTCGTGAGGAATTTCCGCCGACAGGTTCATACCGTGAGGTGGATACGTCGCTGGCAGTGTTAGGCCAGTTCGGTGAGGACATGCTGCTGGTAGGGAATGTAGTGGCCCCATTCCACCGTGAGCTGCTGCTTCGGATGCTGGAACACGGGGGTGACGTCCTCGTGGACTTGTTAGCCGTGACCTCTTCGCTCGACTCGCTTGCCGCGCCTGGCCACTGCAGCTGGCTGGCGGATTCCCGAAGAAGACCAGTGCGAGGCAGGTGGAACATAGACTCGGATGATGATGATGATGATGATGATGATGATGATGATGATGATGATGATGATGATGATGATGATGATGCTGATGCTGATGCTGATGCTGATGCTGATGCTGATGCTGATGCTATGCTGCGCTGATTGATGCCTGATGCTGAGCTGATGTGATGCTGATGATGATGATGATGATGATGATGATGATGATGATGATGATGATGATGATGATGATGATGATGATGATGATGATGATATGATGATGATGTGATGATGATGATGACGACGACGACGACGACGACGACGATGATGATGATGAGGAGGAGGAGGAGGAGGAGGAGGAGGAGGAGGACGGAGGAGAAGGACGAAGGAGTAAGGAGGGGAGAAAGGGGGCGGGAGGAGGGGAGGGGAGAAGAGGCAAGCTAGGTGCGCTCGCGTCATATCTGACGTCCTACCCCTCCCTCCCATCCCTTACCATGGCGCTGATTTTCTCTATCCGCGGACGCGTGTCGTAGCGGACCTGTGGCTCCGCGCGCGCGTGCGTAGTGGGTGGTGGTGCACGTGCGTGCGTGCGTGCGTGTGTGCGTTGTCGTGGTGGTGGTGGTGGTGGTGTGGTTTGCTTGTGGCCTGGTGCTGGTGCTGGTGCTGTGCTGGAGGCTTGGTGCTGGTGCTGGGCTGTGTGGGCTGGGGTTTGGTGGGGTGGTGGTCGGTGTGTAAGAGGCCCCGCGCTGGGGCAGAACGCCATCCTGAACGACGGAGGCCAAACACCGATCCGAAAATGAGGCCCACGCTGCAGCGGGAGCACGATTCGGAACGATTCGGGAGCAGAAATGAGGCCGGCGCCTCAGCGAGAGCAGCATTTTGAAAAAAACGCAGGCGAAAACCCAACTCCCGGGAATCCTGTGTGTAAAAAATAATACGCGGGGGGGGTCGGCCACTCCCAGCACGCCATCAGGGGAAGAGGGAGAGTAGTATTCATATTGAGTAATTGTGGAGATGGGAGGGGGGAGGGGGGGCGGAGAGTGAGGACGAGGGCGCAGAAAGCAGGGAGGGATAGGGGGGGGCGGAGGGAGGGAGGAGGACAGGGGCGGGGACGTCGGGGAGGTGCCCCCCACCCCCCAGAGCGGCCACGCCTCGCCGGAGAGGGGAGGCCGCCTGCGCCGCGCCCCGGGAGGCCGTCGGGGCCCCGGCATCGGCCCTCCTCCTCCTCCTCCTCCTCCTCCTCCTCCTCCTCCTCCTCCTCCTGCGTTTCTGCGTTTCTCGCTCCGAGCAGCGTCTCAACCTCCTCCTCCTCCTCCTCCTCCTCCTCCTCCTCCTCCTCCTCCTCCTCCTCCTCGCGAGAGCCTCCCCTCCCCTGCTGGGTCGGGGGGGACTGCGGGATGTAGCGTGTCGCTCCGCCCCGCGGGGCGGGAAGCTCGGAGAGGCTACAGGGCTCGGTCGGGCTACAGGGCTCGGTCGGCCCTGGAGGCCGTCGGGGGCGCGTTCCACTGCTCGCAAAGTGCCTACAGTCGGGGCGCTGACCCAAGGAACCCTTAATAAGGAACGAGGCCCCTTCTCTCCATCAGTTAAACTGCGATTTTCCCATCGTAAGCATGAGGAAAGCCAGAGGCAAGCTGCGAAACACTTAAGGAACACGGAGCCCCTCCCCAACGGAAAGGGTTCCTTCTTCAGGGCCCCGACTGTACTCGCAAACGCACGAAAAACACATGTCTGCTTCGATGCAATTTCTCGTAGATCCCCCGCGGCGGATCCGGGCGATTTGCGAGCAGCTCCTTTGCGAGTAGTGGAACGCGCTCGTCCCGAGGAGGAGGCGGGGCGGACCCGGCCGAGCCCTGAGTCGGGCCTGTCCCTCTACAGGGAGAACATCCAGAAACTGTCAAACAACTAGTCTGGGGACGATTTTTGTTTACCACTTTTGAGCGTCTGGGGGGGGGGTATGTTTTGGCTTTGTTCTTCGCCCCAAGTCCCCCTGTAGGGGGACAGGCCCGACTTACGCAGAGCCCGACTCCAGCCAAGAAGTAGTCCGGGGACGATCTTGTTTCTACCATTTTTGCGTGCCTGGGGGGCATGCTTTGGCTATGTTTTGATGTTTCGCCCAAAATCCCCCCGTCGGGGGACAGGCCCGACTTTTGGGCCGAGCCCGGTGCGGCGCGCCCTCGTCCTGCCTCCTATTGCTCAGGGGGCAGCGAGTCTCGGGGGCGGCAACGGGCGGGGGGGGGGGGGGGCGAGGGCCACAGACAGGATCGCGCCGTGAAAACAAATCAGGACGGCAGGGGCGGGGGCGGCAAAGGTCAGGAGCGAAAGAAGGGCGTACACGTGCATGAATCCACGCTGGTTTCGAGATTTCGCATTGCGCGAATGGTCGTATCGCGCGGCCGGTCTCGCGGGTCAAGGGGCCGTGTTCATGTACATAGCTGGGCGCGTACGTCTTTTGTGGGCTCCCTAAAAGGACGGCAGGGGCGGGGGCGACACGATCGCGTCGTTAAGAAAACCGTTCGGGGGCGGCAAAGGGCGTGGGGCGCGCAAAGGGCGGGGGGGGGCGACGACCAAAGACAGGATCGCGTCGTGAAAAAAATCAGGACGGCAGGTTTGTCGTTCTTTTCGGCCCCTGGGGGCCCTCGCCGTCGACGACCAACGACATGATCGCGTCGTGAACAAAAATCAGAACGGCAGGTTTGTCGTTCTTTTCGGCCCCTGGGGGCCCTCGCTGGGCCCCAGGACCGGCAACGAACGACTCGGGATGAAGAGCCGGTCCCCTGCGAGAGGGTCTGGACTTCCGGGGACGCCGTCCTGAAAAAATCTGAACTTTCTCAGGGGCGACGATTCGGGGGCGGCAAAGGGGGGGTGATGACTGGGGGGGTGGACATCATCGCGGGGGCCACGATATCGCCACAGATCTCGGCGCTCCCTCGTCCTTCCTTTTTTATTCGGGGGCAACGATTCGGGGGCGGCAAAGGGGGGGTGATGACTCGGGGGGTGGACATCATCGCGGAGGCCACGATATCGCCACAGATCTCGGCGCTCCCTCGTCCTTCCTTTTTTATTCGGGGGCAACGATTCGGGGGCGGGGGGGGTGGTGACTGGTGGGGGGGGACATCATCGCGGGGGCCACGATATCGCCACAGATCTCGGCGCTCCTTGATTCGTGGGCGGCAAAGGGGGGGGGTGATGACTGGGGGGGGTGGACATCACGGCGGGGGCCACGATATCGCCCCAGAGCTCATGGCGCCTCTTCTGATGTCAAGACGTCCTCTGGCCCCCCCCCCATGGGCGGTGCGCATGCCTCAGGTCATGATTTGCGCACTCCTCTCTTGGATGCCCTCCCTCTTGGACGTCCCCGAACGATACGGGGGATAGGCATAATTAGGGGAGGATGCATCGACCCCTAATCGCCCATTGATCGCCGATAGGGGTCTTTAGGCCCCACCCCGCCAAGGAAGGTGCATCCCTTCCTATGCAAGTCCCGCATGTCGTTGCCCATCTCCTTCCGCCGATTCGATCGTCATATGTATGGAAACAAAAAGGCACGAAGACGGGCAGCATTTCCTGATCATCTTGAGCAGGACTCGCGGTCGGTGACGCCGCGATCGTGGCTCATTTTCGGACACAAGCTCGCCTGCTCAACAGCGGCCGCTGTCGGCTTTTTTGTCCAGATTTGCTGCTGGGCATCACACCCAACTTTTCCATACCCACTTCGGGCGTCCGAATGACTGCTCTCGTCACCGTTTCTGTCTCTCCCTCGTTTCCTCCTGCACCGGTCCGCCCTCCTGAGGTCGGGCCCTGGGTCGCGCAATGCTGGCCCGGACCAGAGCTGTCGACGTGTTCAGATGATCGGGAGTATGCGCGCGGCGCATCTTCCTATCTAAGACCCAACTTCCTCAGGCGACGGGTGTGATTCAACCTCGTCCACCTCCTGCTCCCTACTTTGCCTCGTCTGTCTCCTCGCCCTCCTCCTCTCAGGCTTCTGGCGAAGCTGGCAGACACGACTATTCAGCCTGGCAGTCTCTCTCCCCATGCGTATCGCCCGCACGGTTTTTGTCCCGTTCTCGCGTGGGTCGCCCTCTCGTGCTCATGCCAAGCAGCGGCGCAGGGCCGTTGCTGAGCCATTATACTGCAAGTGGCGAAAGCATCAACAGTCTGGCACAGACTGGACCAACAAGGCTGATCACATGTGGTGTTCGCAGTGTGGCATGCCCACTGGAAGTGCCTTCAAAGGGGTGTCTCCGCCCAAAGTTCATGCTAAGCGTTCAACGAAGATGTCTTCCCAGCGGGAGGCCATGTTGGAAAAGCAGTTCAGCGAGCTGCGCAAGCAGGTGCGGGAGTTGTCTTCTGCCCTCTCTACGACGTCCCTCCCCCTCCCCCCCCATCCCCATGGCAAGCTGCCGTCGCCTTTTGGCGGCTTCGGCATGCACCTTCCCGATGGGGGGCACTCCTCCGCTTCCTCCTGCCACGCTTTGGCTCTGGCGGGCACCTCCGCGGCGGGCTTCGGCGCTGCGCGGAGGCGGCGAACGCAGCGGCTCCCCGGCCCGTGGACTGGCTCACGAAGCTCAGCCAGGCGCGATGCAGCCATCGCATTCGTGACACCGGACTTGGCCAGGTGATTGCGCTTCGCTCCGAGATCGATCGAGCGGCTCAAGTTCGAGTTCGCCGAGCTCTGACTTCCGCTCGCTGGCGCGGAGCACCTGCAGCTCCTGCTGATCGACCGTCTCGTCTGGCCTCCCAGCATCGGCGCCAAGGTCACGAGCGGTGCAATCTTGAGCAGAAAGTCGCTCGATTTGAAGGGCTTGGCACCCACAGCTGTGAGCTTTTCAGTGAGGATGCGAGGCTTCCGACAAAAAGGTTAGCCATGACGCCGGCCACGACACCGTTCGGCAAGACGCTGTTCGACCCGTGCCCGAGCCGCACCTCCCCTGGGGCGGCCGCACCTGCTGCGCGCGCCGCACTGCTCTCCCATGCGCTCCTGGCTCTAATCCGCGTGCTCTCCTCCTCCTCCTCCTCCTCCTCCTCCTCCTCCTCCTCCTCCTCCTCCTTCTCCGCCTCCGCCTCCTCCTCCTCCTCCTCCTCCTCCTCCTCCTCCTCCTCCTCTTCTCTCTCCCCTCAACTTCTCTCCCTCTCTCTTTCTCCTCTCTCTCTCTCCTCTGCCTCCTTGTTTCCTCCTCCTCTCTATATCTTACCTCCTTCTTCCTCCATTCTCCTCCTTCCTCTCTTCCTCCGCCTCCTCCTCGTTCCTCCTCTTCTTCCTCACCCCCTCCTTCCTCGCTCCTTCCTTCTCTCCTCCTCTCCCTCTCCTCTTCCACCCCCTTCCTCCTTCCTCCTCCTTGTCTCCTTCCTCCCTCTTCCTCCTCTCTCTTCTCCTCCTCCTCGCTTCCTCTCCACTCCTCCTCTCTCTTTCTTCTCCTTTCTCTCCTTTCTCCTTCCTTCTCCTCTCCTTCTCTCTTCCTTCTCCTCCTCCTCCTCCTTCATCCCCCTCAGTCCTCTGCCTACCCTCCTCCTCCTCCTCCAGCTTTCTCTCTCCCTTCTCCTTACTCCTCTCCCTCCTGCTCCGGCTCCTCTCTCATCCTCCTCCTCGCCTAGCCCTCTCCTCCTTCTCTCCTCCTCCCTCTCCTCTTCTCACCTCCTCTCTCCTCCCTTCCATCTTCTTCCTCTCTCCTCCTCCTCCTCCTACTTCTCTTCCTCCCCCCCCTCTCTTCCCTCCTCCATCTCTTCTTTCCTCATCCCTCGCCTTCGCCTCCTTCTCCTCTCCTCCTATCTCCTCCTCTCTCTCGCTTTTCCTCCTCCAACTACTCGCCCGCTTCTCCTCCTCTTCTCCTTCCTCATCTTTCTCCTTCTCTCCTCCCTTCTCTCCCCTCCTCCTCCTCCTCCCCTCCTCCCCTCCTCCTCTCCTTCCTCATCCTCCTCCTCTACCTCTCTCGCCTCCCCCCCTCCTCCCTTCCTCACTCCTGCGCCTCCTCCTCCTCCTCCTCCTCCTCCTCCTCCTCCTCCTTCTGCTGCTCTTGGGGCGACCGCCGGCTCTTGCCAGGACAAAGGGCACGAGCAGAAGCGTGCGCCGGCTTGTTCACGCTGCTCCGGGCCAGTCCGCCTGGAGGAGCAGGGGCGCGCTCCTTGCAGTCGGCCCAGATCAGTGGGTCGGCCCTGCCAGTTCAAGGGCACCCTGGTGCCCTGTGCTCCGCGGCCCATGCCGTCTTACATTCTCCTGGTCATGTGGCCCTCGGAAGGGTCTTGTGTCCTCTCGCGTGTCCTCTCCAATCGATTCCGACTGTACCGGGGTCACACGGACTCCCTCCTCTTCCTCCTCCCTTCGCGCAGCCTGGGCCTGGGTGTTCGCACTGCGTCGGGGGGGCTTGCGCCGGCACCTCTGGGCTGGAGCTGCGCGATCGTGGTGGGCTGCATCATTGCCGCGTGTCCCGTCGGGCTCAGTGGCAATGGTTTCTTTCATGTCTGACTTCGTTGGTGGACCCATTCCCGTTGGCTCGGCATCACCCAGCCGCATGCGCGTCGCCCCCAAAGGGGCGACCCGCGCGCCGAGAATTCTGGTAGCATCAGCTCTGTGGCGGGCGCGTTCTGGCCATACCGTTCGGGAAGCATCATCCAAGATGTTTCTACTATACGGGGCGTTCCAAACAGGGCCTCGACGCAAGGCGGCGGGAGGCCGGCGGAAGGTAGCGGAAGTAAAAGACGCGCCTCCAAGCGGTGAGAAGGTCCTTGGCTCCGGGGCCCCTGCAGTCCGCCATGTGTTCGGATCAGACGCACGCCTCCAGCACCAGTGCATCGTGCTCGCCTGGCCTTGAGCGTCCCACTCGCTCCGCGCGAGCGCCTTGCCAGGCGGCCTGGGTCGCCCGATGAGTTCGCGAATTCGCGGCGTTGCGCTCCGCGCGCGCCCCCTCGCGCCCCCCCCTTCCCCCCCTCCCTCCCCTCCGTGCCGCAGGGCCCCCTCTGCGCTTGCAACAAACAAGGCGCGTCCCACTCCGCTCTTCCCCCGTCGTCCCTCGGCTCGCGCTCGCGCGCGTGGTGCCCCCCCCCCCCCCCCCGCGGGCCGAGGTTAGGGCGTGCGCGGCCCCCGCCCGCATCTTGACGGCGGCGCCGGAGCCCAAGGTCACGGGGGGGAGGAGGACGGGGCGAGGATTTGGCCGGGCCTGTCCCCCTACAGGGGGATTCTGGACGAGAAATCAGACATACCCCAAACATGCCCCCAAATAGTCGAACAATTCTCAAAAATTAGTCCCCAGGCTATGTTTTGACTATGTTTGAGTATCCCTCCTGTAGAAGGACAGGCCCGACCTGAGGCGAGGAGGAGGAGCAGCCTGGGGGGACGTGGCGGGCCAGAGTGGCCCGGCAGCGTGTCCAAGGAGGAAGCATGAGGTGGAAGGGACAGAGAGGGAGGAGGAGGAGGAGGAGGAGGAGGAGGAGGAGGAGGAGGAGGAGGAGGAGGAGGAGGAGGAGGAGGAGGAGGAGGAGGAGGAGGAGGAGGGGAGGGAGGAGGAGGAGGAGGAGGAGGAGGAGGAGGAGGAGGAGGAGGGGAGGAGGAGGAGGAGGAGGAGGAGGAGGAGGAGGAGGAAGAGGAGGAGGAGGAAGGAGGAGGAGGGGCAGGAGGAGGAGGAGGAGTAAGGAGGAGGAGGAGGAGGCGGAGGAGGAGAGGAGGAGGAGGGAGGAGGAGGTGGAGGTAGGGGAGGGGGAGGGGGAGGGGGAGGAGGAGGAGGAGGAGGAGGAGGAGAGAGGAGGAGGGGAGGAGGAGGAGGCGGAGGAAGAGGAGGAGGAGGAGGAGGAGGGAGGGGAGGAGGAGGAGGAGAGGAATGGAGGCGGAGGAGGAGGAGGAGAGGAGGAGGAGGAGAGGAGGGGGGGACGGAGGAGGAGGGGGAGGAAAGGAGGAGGGAGGAGGAGGAGGAGGAGGAGGAGGAGGAGGAGGAGGAGGGGGGAGGGGGAGGAGGGGAAGGGGGAGGGGGAGGGTGGAGGGGGGGAGGCGGAGGGGAGGAGGGGAGGAGGAGGAGTGCAGAAGGACGAGTAGGGGAGAAGAGCATGGGCTAGAAGGTTGAGCAGAATCAGGACGAGGATCAGTCAGCGAAAGGGGCATCAGCACAACGAGGGAATTCGACAATCAGCAGGAGCAGGAGGAGCAGCACGGAGGACGAGCTCGATGTTTGGGAGGAGGAGGAGAGGAGGAGGAGGAGGAGGAGGAGGAGGCGGAGGAGGAGGAGGGGAGGAGGAGAGGAGGGAGGCGGAGGAGAGAGGAGGAGGAGGAGGAGGAGGGAGGAGGAGGTGGAGGGGAGGAGGAAGAGGAGGAGGAGAAGGAGGAGGAGGAGGAGGAGGAACGGGGGCGTCCATGGCCGTGTCGTCCACCACGCCTGGCTTCCTCTTGTGCCTGGGATTGTCGCCGACGTAGCGCGCGGCCCACCGACCACGCGCAAGAGCTCGGCTGACGCGTCGTCACACACCGCGACGCCATCTTCGCCATTAGAGGCTTCCGCGCCCAACGGGCCGCCAGGTGGCTCGCCCATGCCAGCTTGCAGCAGGCTGACTCGCGCCCCACTTCTCCGCCACGCGGGAAACTTGCGGGACCGCACGGGCAGGCCCGCACTCCGCAGCTCCGATGGGATCGGCCGTGTCGTCCCCCACGCGCGGCTCATCGTCGTTACGCAGCACGCCATCGTACTCACCGACGCCGTGAGAGCCCTCCCTGCCGCCAACGCCGTCGCTTAGTGCCAGCGGGTTCAGCGCCGCCAGCAGCCCATCGCCGTTGGCGCCCAGCCGCACAGGGCGCAGCCCTTGGCACGACTGCGTGGCCATCCAGCGGCGCTGTGGACGTGCCAGCGCCCCTCGGCCCGACTTCGCTCTGCAAATCTCCACGATGCGCTTACCTGCGACCGCGTCGTGGGCCGTGCTGGGCCACGCAGAGCGCCGCCGCGGCGGCGAGCAGCAGCTGCCCCTGGGTCTGGCCGGATGAAGACTGGCGCTGCGCCCAGACCTGTGCAGCCACGTGGGCGCGCGGCCCGCCCCCGGCGCCGCCAGAGCTGGCAGCAGGCAGCGGACGCGCGCGGCGAACCAGTCATCGCCGGAGGTTCTCTGGAGGGCCTCCTCCTGGCATCGCTCGGACGTGTGCGTTTTTTCCTCGGCGAGGACCATCGAGGAGCATCCTTGACCATTTGCCGAAAAAACCACGCACGAAACCGACAAAAAACACAGGGAATGGACGTCCGAGCGATGGCGAGTCCTCGGCCTCCCTTCTTTAGCGGTCAGCATCTGCCAAGCGCTTCTACAGCTGCGCGACGAGGCCATGATTCCGCCGCACGGGCTGCAGCAGCACCCGGCGTCGCCGCCGTCGAGCCCCCTTCGCAGCCATCCAATGCGGTCCCGCGCGGCTTGAAGCTGGGGAGTCACACGACTTGAGCCAAAATGGTTACAGAGGGACGACGGCGACGACGAGGAGATGCAAGATCAAGATGGAAAGGGGGAGGATAACGAAGAGCGAGAGAACGCTGGAACGCTTCGGAGGATTACGTGAGCGGGAACGCGGGAGGATCAGGAAGAACGCGGGAGCGCGGGAGGATAACGAAGAACGAGGCGCTTGCGACAGGTAATTGAATTCGTTTCGGATCTGTTATGCCCTTCCGTGCTGAGGTCTTTGCCATTGATGAAGGCACGCGGTGTTTAGCGAGGCTGAGCGCATCCTTTGCCCTCGTCCGTAGTTGCGGTCGGCCATGTCTGTCGTGTTGGCAAGCTGCGAGAACTGAAGGAGGAGGAGGAGAAGGAGGAGGAGGAGGAGGAGGAGGAGGGAGAGGGAAAGCGGAGAATAAGGATGGGGGAGGATGAGGAGGAGGAGGAGGAGGAGGAGGAGGAGGAGGAGAGGAGGACGAGGAGGAGGAGGAGGAGGAGAAAAAGCAGCAGCTGCATGGGACCATCGTGGTGAGGATCGTGATGCCGATGGGGAGGGTGGTGTGGGTGGAGGGGGAGATAGAGAGGGGAGGCCAGTGGCGATGGAGGGGAAGCATGTTGAAGATGGGTAATTATGTCGGGCGATGGGGAGGGGGAGGATGAGGGGATATTGCCGGCAGCGAGGAAGGAGGACAAGTAGGCGAATAGGGCAGGCCACGATGATGAAGATGCGTAGGACTGGGTATAGGTAGGGAGGAGCATACTGGGTAGGACGAGGCGGAGGATGCCGTGCACGGGGACGAGCAGGCGGGCGAGGAGTAGGAGGCGGTTGAGATGGAGGATGACGAGGAGGTAGAGCTGGAGGACGTGAAGGCGGAGGCGGTGAACACCGTCTCCTAGAGAGGTTCTCGAACGTCTATCCGCCCTGTTGCGGCATATTCCTTCCGAGGGCATTATATATGTGTATATATAAATATATATGTATGTATGTGTGTGTTCCTCAGACACCGCCGCATCCTCATCTTTCTCGTCATTATCTCCCCCTCTCCCCCGCCCCTCACAAGTCACCACCTCGTGGTTGAGTTGGTGACGCATGTGGCACTTCCCTGAAGCTCGCTAGCACGGAAGCCCCTCCCATTTTTTCCCGCTCGCGCTCTCGTCTCTCCCCCTGCAGTATTTTAAGCCTGCCTCACCCCTTCGCTTCCGGCTCCTCTTCCCGCTCCTGCTTCTGGTCGTATCCCTACCCCCCCTCCTTCCTGTTCCCCGTCATCATACGGAGGGGGCGCGACCAGAACAGCCAGCCTTGGAACAGTCCTTGCCGGGTGCCATCTCGGCGGCCCCTGCCGGCGGATGCCCGGGCATCGGGCCGAGGCATTGCCCGGAGGTTCTCTGGCCTTTTTATTGTGATTGCCATGTTTTGACTGCTGGCTGTTTTTGATTGCCAGGCTTGACGTGTCGTTTTCATATCTTCCCCGTGCGCCTACTACATCATGCCTTCCCTCCCTCCATCTCCAGATGCTCGCGGCAAGTCCCGCCACCGTGCCAGCCCAGCATGCTGGGTGGCGATTGCTCGAGGGGGCACGGGAGGCCGTCACTTGCGACACCTTGTGCCTCCAAGTCTGGGAGAGCCGTGATGATGATGCTGATGTTGACGAGGATGAAGGTGATGACGATGAAGCTGATGACGATGATGATGATGATGATGATGATGATGATGATGATGATGATGCTGCTGATGCTGATGGTGATGCTGATGGTGATGATGATGGTGATGATGATGATGCTGACGATGCTGATAATGATGATGATGATGATGATGTTGATGATGATGATGATGATGATGATGACGATGGCGATGGCTATGAGGATGAGGAGGATGCTGATGATGATGCTGATGATGATAATACTATTGTTGATGCTGCTGACGATGATGACGATGCTGATGATGATGCTGCTGGTGATGACGATGATGCTGATGATGATGCTGATGATGATGCTGTTGATGATGATGCCTATGATGATGCTGCTGATGATGATGATGATGATGCTGCTGCTGGTGATGATGATGATGATGATGATGATGATGATGGTGGTGGTGGTGGTGATGATGCTGCTATTGATGATGATGATGATGTTGATGATGATGATGATGATGATGATGATGATGATGCTGATGATGATGATGAGAGGAGGAGGAGGAGGAGGAAGAGGAGGAAGAGGAAGGCCGTTACACGTGACACATGTATTCTTCATTATTTGAGGAGCCTCTCTGGAACTCGGTTGGTCCGTCTTGTGGGTGTCTTGGCCTCCTGCGGGGTGGTCTTGCGGGTCCCTGCGAGCCCTTGTGGGCTGCCCCGGGGGGTTCTTGGGCCGTCTTGGGGCTCTTGTGGGCCGTCTTGGGGCCCTCTTGGCAGTATGATGCGTACTTGGGGGCCGTCTTGGCGCCATCTTGCATAGTCGAGCGGCCTTCTAAGGCCGTCTTGGGTCCCACGGGCTTGGGGCCGTCTTGGATGCGTCTGGGCCCTCGCGGTTCCTCTTGGGCCATATTTGGACATTCATGGGGGCCTCCTCGGCTTTCTTAGGGCCATCACGAAGGCTCGTTGGGCTACCTTGAGCTGATGGAAGCCCGAAAAGGCGAGAATGCGAAAACCGTTGAAACAAACACCCAAGGGAAGTC